GAATATCAGCTAATTCATTTTGTTTTCCAACCGAAAGTGTAGCGTATGAATCATTCGCACGAGTTACATGAATTGGTGTTGGTGTTCTGGGAGAATGCTGGATTTCATTTCTATTATCTTTGAATGTATCGATATAAAAATTGTGAATATGAACTGAGATAGACTTACCTTTCTTTGATACGGCAGGTTTTTTTGGGACTGATACAGAGCGAACAGGTGGATTTTTTGATCGTGACTGTGGCTGTGCAGAACGAACGTTTCGTTGTTGAAATTTCGGTTGTGGAGGAGTTTTTTCCGTGATTTCTTTTTTCCGTTGATCTTCTTTAAGTTTTCGCTTTGCCAAGAATTGATACATATGTAATTTATTTGTATCAATGGATTGAAGATGGGATGAGGATGTATCATATTGAGGAATCGTCTGTTTAAGAAAATGTGGAGCTCGACCGAAAGATATCGGTGCTGGATGTGTAATATTGATAAGATTAAGTGGAGAAACGAATGCATTTTCATGGAATTGAAGATAATTCGGAGGTAGATTATTATTATTTGATTGAGCCTGTTGAAACATGATTAAATCTTTTAATAACCTTCTTTTCTTATTTATTTTTTGTTCAGCAGAAGAGCGATCATCAGCGTCGTCTCGACAACGAACAATCAACATCGATTTAGACAAACTTGTCAATAGATGGCGCTTCTATCAAGAATCTCAAAGCATGAGTCTACGATAGTGTAAAGTATATAATTTAACAAACATATTTCAAATGATATACAGAATTTTTAATTTATCCTATTTTCAATAATCTGTAGAAATGTACTTTACGTATATGTCCTCTTAGAGCAAAGTACAAAACGACAGACAAATAACTGATATTGATATTGACTCTTATACATATTCACTGCTAATACATATAGTGAGTAGCGCTGAAGTAAAACAGCAAAATAAATCGACATTTCTAGGCGAAGAATGACATACAAAAAAAGAAACTAATCCAGATCAATATTTGACTATAAAAATAGATTTTATATGCAGATGCCATTTAATGATTGAAAAAGAATAAAACGTCACTGAGTGCTGCGAGCCTTGGAAATTCAGTCAGTTTTTGATAGCACTATTCACAGTACATTTCATTTACTTGAAATATACAATGATCCATATCGATTACTATTTTAAGCTACGGCGTTCTGCTTGAATAGCACCGATATAAATCAAGGTGGTTGATGATGTGTTGCGCTTTTTGCCTTTTCTTAAAAAAAAAGAAATTACGGTCAATCCAGAAATATCGAGAGAATCTCATTTGGCATTGAAAACTAAAATAGCATAGAGATACTTCAGTTCATTTCATCAAATACCATTTCGCAATACTATGAAAATCTTCTTAGCGAATTCTCTTATTTAAAGTAAATTACTTTTCATTGGTGAAGGTTCCATAATATTTTTAAATAGCAGCTTTTACGATCAGAACCTATTTACATAGTGACTATCAAAGGAAAACAAACATTATCAACAATGATCTTGATTGGACTTTGCTTTGTATATGCATCCCTTATATTTCGATATTAGTCAAATCAGCTAATGATTAATAAACATTTTTCTTCTTCTAACGTCATGGGAACTACCGGAGAACTAAATGTTACACGACTGATCGCGACAAGATGCGTCGATGCCAAATAAAACATTTATCTTCTTTGCATACAGAGACATAAATTTGTCTTTCTATTGGTTCAAAATCACCTATCATAACTCACACTATGATTCATTTTTATTTAATAAAAGAAGTCTACTACTACAACAACGTTGCGTATTATCACTTAACTTGTTTGCAAAAATATGACGTCGAGTTCAGTCTATGCTGATCTTGTTGATCGACCACTATTTGGTGAAACAAGATCTCTAGTAAATGAAAATTAAATTTTTTATTTGCATCAATAAAATTGAAATTATTATTATTTATCTGTTAGGATCGAATTTCATTTATCATCATTACTGCTCTTACAACTATCTTTGTTCTGGTAGATTGTTTTAATTGAATGAAAAATAGTTTTAAAAATTGCACGATTTTTTAGGCAACATTTGTTGGCATGTTTCTATTTAAACACATCAGCGGTACACATATTTTTTTAAATATCTGTCTTATTCTTCTGCTTTGCTCGCATTTATGCTTAGTAAGTTATTACGAATCAGGTTGCCGGCTTTTAATTAATTTCTATGTTTTAATCTCATAGGCATTTTGGTATCGTTCAGGCGAATTAGAACCACGTTTTCGCAATATGTTATTTTTCAATACAGCTGTCATTGTTCTATTATGCATTAGTGCGAATCTTATAATAAGTGGAAGATAAATTTTTCTTCTTACATTTTTATGTAAATATCGGCCGCGTTCTATATTCAAAATAAAGTTCAAAGTAAATTCCATAATTTATTACGAGTAATATTAACCATTGAATAATTATTTATCAAATGATTACAAAATCAAACATATTGCCTGTGCTGTTTAAAATTACTTTTCTGTTTTTTCCTGTACCCGTTGACACTTGAGAAAAAAAATAAAGTAGAACATATATGAAGTGCAATCACTTGAAAAATCATTTTTGCATTTTGTTCGTTTCGATCAAATCGAAATTGTAGTGAACGGTAAATAAAATCATTATTTTCGGTGTTATTAAGTGTGAAATATTGACTGGTAAACATTATATGATTCATAGAAATAATATTCATGAAAATATGATTTTTGATTTCGGAAAAAATTGCAATGACTTATTTGCCGTGGGCAATAAAAAAATGAAAGATATTTTCGATCTTTAAAATTGGTTCTAACTAGCCAATTGTTTTATTTTTATTATAGAGAGAGAGAGTAATAAAAAGATAACATTACACTACAAGTAATCACTGACTACAATGGCTATAGGTGTAGGAGAAAAAAAAATCGCTCTACTAAAGTTGATTGATAGTCTAATAATTTATTCAGAGCTGGTTGCTTTAACTGCATCATTCTTTTCTTCGACTAATTCCTTTTGAGTTTTCTCGATCAAGTCTTGTGCCCAATCATCCATAGCTAAGCCTTGAACAACTGAATAGCTTCCGTTTTTGATTTGAACTGGATAACTGAATACCAAGCCCTTTTCAATACCATATGAACCATCGCTAATTACACCCATAGAGACCCATTCGTTCTAAAAAGAGAATAGCATTCAATAGCAAATTAATAAAACTTATATTTTTCTTTCTAGCTACATCTTTTGTTCCATGCCACCAATCGCGCATATGATCGCAAATAGCCTTAGCAGCTGACATAGCGCTTGAAAGTTTACGTGCAGCAATAACAGCAGCGCCACGTTTTTGTACGGTCTATAAAAAGAGGAAATGACGTATAAATAAATCTATGGAGATTTTATTTTCATACCGAAACAAAGTCACCCTTGAGCCAAGCATCATCTTTGATGGCTTCGAAAACGGCTGTCTCGGCACCATTAACTGTTACTTTCGCTGAGCGAACATCGGGAAATTGAGTTGATGAATGATTTCCCCAAATAATAACGTTCTTAACGGTATCCGGTGATACTTTAAGTCTCGATGCAATTTGTGCTTTAGCGCGATTATGATCTAAACGTGTTAAACAGCTGAAATTTTCGCGTGGGATTGATTGAGCATAATGAGCCAAAATGAAACAGTTTGTATTGGCTGGATTACCAACCACAAGTACCTGAAAATAGACAATTTTTGTGCATTTCCTTCTAGAGAGGAAAATATAATTTCCTGACCTTGACTGCTTTCTTGGCGAACTTCTCAAGAGCTAAGCCTTGTGATTTGAAGATTTTAACGTTAGCCGTAAGTAAATCTTTACGTTCCATGCCTTCTTTACGGGGCATAGCGCCGACGAATAAAGCAACATCAACATCGGTAAATGCTGTTTGTTCGCTATCTGTTGTTACAACCTCTGAAAATATAAACAAATAGATTAGGTTCAATGAAGTCATCGAAACGAACCTTTAATTAGTGGGAAACTGCAATCATTGATTTCCATAACTAAACCTGAAAGAACACCCAACATTGGTGTAATATCAAGTAAATGAAGAATAATAGGCTAAATAAAATTGATATTGATAAATGAAATTTTAAAATAATAAAAAAAACTGACTTGATCTTTTCCGAAAACATCCCCGCTTGAAATTTGATGAATCAATGAATAAGCAATTTGACCAGCAGCTCCAGTAATTACAACCCGAATGGGGTCTTTAACACCCTAGAGAGAATTTAAAGGAAAAAATATTCAAACTTAAATTAAATAGTTTATTATTATCTTACTGATGCAGCCATGAATTTTAAGTGACTAGTTTGAAACGTAAATAAAATGAAGTCTAGAAGAAAAAGAAAACAAGTAAGTTATAAATAGGCTTTCAAGACAAGACGAGGTTATTATTATTATTAACATCTTGTACTCAACACAGCTATACACGTCCGATGGAATGAGAAAGAAATAACCGCAATATATTTTCCAATGATATTATTGGCTTTTCTATCGACCAATTGTAGAGTCGCTTTCAACAACACATTGTATTGCCAATCATTCATTTATGTTTTCTTCTTGGAAAGAATGAACCGATGATCAATGTTAATTTTATTCTATTAGCTTTCATTCAACTATTCAGTTTTGTTGATAGTCAATGTAATATTCATGGTCCTATTTCATGTAATCTTGTACCGGCTGAATGTCTCGATTGTTCATTAACAACCGATTGTATTTATGGTGAACAACTTTTAACTTCATGTCGAATGTTTAATGGTTCATGTTTAACTGTTGATAAGAAACTTGTTTCATCATTCGAACGTTTGTATATATGTCAATATTGTTATCAAACTCCATTCGATGAACTTGCCTGTACACCCAATACAGCTTGTCGTCATCATCAGAACGGCAATCGTTACAAATCGAATTGTACAATTGCTGATGATACACAACTTTGTTTAGGTTCCAGAACATTTTATCGAAATATCGAATGCAATTGGACAAGCGGCCACAAGAAGTCCAATGGATTATTAATAAGTATATTTTTCGGTGGTCTAGGCTTTGATCGGTTCTATCTGGGACATATCAAAGAAGCACTTGGGAAAATTTTCTCATTTGGTGGTCTTGGCATTTGGACATTAATTGATTCTGTACTCATTGCTTGTGGTTATTTAACACCGGATGATGGTTCAGTTTATATGGAATAAGAACAAATAACTAATATCATTTTATGTAAATCTTTTTAAAAATTGTAAAACTTTGTTTTTATAAAAAAAAAAGAAAGAAAATGATGATTCAACTCAGAAGCATATGGAGTAAGAAACTGACTCATTATTTATGTCATAATCAATCTTAATCGTTTCCATTTGCAATAGAAATTATCCGAAAAGGTATTTAGCAATATTCTTGGGCAGGATAATTTTTGAATTGTAAAAATCTTACGTCGTTAGCGCTTGTTTTGAAATAAAGATCTGTACAACAAAAATAACTCTGCAGATCAAATCTATCTTTCAGATATGTCATTAAATAATGATTCAATCCAGCGTAATAAACCAATTTTACGCGATGCTGATCCTCAACGTCCTCGAATGATAACGAATGAATCTCATATTTTCAATCTTCCACCACCACCATCATCATCATCAACAGCAAACCTTTCCCTACCGAATATTCGTCCATCGCCAATTCCAGGCAATTTCAATATTCCACCTCCGCCAACATCTATGATTGGCGATGCTATGTCGACATTCAATAAAGAACGTTTGCACGACGTCTTACAACAAGGTTTAGGTACATATGTATTCATTGAACACTATGGCCTCGTACCAAAACTAAATCATTTCTAATATATCATGTATATTTAATTGAAATAAAGAAGACAAAAAAAAACAGTAACGTAATAACAAGAAGAAAAAGAAAGCCTAATATTGATAAATAATCACAGAAATTCGTTTTATCCTATGCGTTTATAAAAATTCTACTAATAAGTTATATTAAATGCTCGTACACATCCAGCTAGGTAACATGAAACATAAAATTTTGTACCACTGCGATTCGTACAAATGCCCGATGGACGTTTTATACGTTCATTTAGTTTTAATGTCGTTTGATATTCACCATCAGATTTAAATACCTAGAAGAGAAATTCGAATGCATCTACTATTTCTAAAATAGAGTTTAAAATCCGATTTTACTTGAATTCGATCATTTTTACTATCAGCACTAATTATATTTCCATTGGAATCAACAAATAAACCCGATGGATCTATCATTTCGCCATCACCTCGACCATGACCACCGAACACAGTTATGCAATCATATTGAAATCGATTTCGAATACTTGTTCCATAGATTAAACTACGGCCTGAGAATAATTTAAACTATATTTTGTGTAATATAAATAATTTTCCTTTTACCAAGATCAGCTATATAAATATTATCATTATGTACAGCAACAAAACGTGGTTTACTGGTTGTTTGAGGCAAAATATTTCCTACAACATGTTTTACGTAACGTTCTCTTAACTTTTCTTCTGGTTCTCGATTCATCATAATCGGCTGTTCAAATACCAATCGACCATTATTTGGATCGAACAATAGCAAGCGACTATTTTCGGCTGTATCAGCATCGGTTGCTTTAGAATCAATTGTTAATAGATAACGATCATGGAATAAAGCAATACCTAGAATTGTACGATAAAATAAAGAAAATTTTGTTTGTTAAAAACTAACCATATAATTGTTTAATAGAACGATGACCAATAGTTTGTATTAAACGACCGTCAGGCTCCGTTACATAAATATAATCTCGTTCGACAATTAGAATATTATTACTTGAATTGCTCATCACAGCACTTGGGCGATGAAATTTCATTTGCTGAAAAAACATAGATCGGTTCAAAATTTAGATATCCGAAAAATTATTTTAAGGTTCATCGTTCTCCCAGAGATGGACAAATCAAGTCAAATTCCAAATTCGATTTAGGAAATGAGATGACCAATAAAAATTGACGAAAACTACTTTCTTGTAACGTCCAACAGACGCAGATTTGAAGCTATGTTAATAATACCTGATTTCCAGTAATGGTGTGTTTTAATTGACCAGTTTCAACATCGAATAAACGAACATTTTGTGCACTACGATGCACGTCACATGAAAGTAATGTTGATTCGTCATGTGACAATGCAATTCCAATTGGTAAGCAAGTAGCTTGCGGGCCCGTTTGTGGTGTACCATATGTCATACAGAGATCGCCACGTAGAATAGGCCGAGCTTTACGTAGGAAAAAATGAATTTATAAATATGAAGATTTTTCAATATACATACTTTGTTGATATCCAAATTGTCTTATATATTCATCAGTTACGTGTTGGCGATGAGCTGCTGTTGTGTTATTCATATGGGACTGTTCGATAACAATAGAAAGACTCTGTTTAATTTGATGCCACCTAGGGAATTCAAAATTGATAATAAAAAAGTCTGTAAAACTATTTTCTGTTACTCGTGACTAGCTGCACTTGGATCCCTAAAAATTGGATCTAGATAATATTGTTGGCCTCTTTCCATATCGCAATCTTCATCATGACTATAGAATGTAAATAGTAGCAAAACATATTTTATTTATTTAACATACTTAATAGTTTGAGCATCGTCATTGAAAAGTATCGAAGCCGGTGTATGGCATGGTGGAAATTCAGCTATAGTCTCTGTTTGCGTTTTGCTAGATGATTCTAAGGCATATTTTATTTCGTATTCACTTTGAAACGATGCCGTGGACATAGGTCGTAATGACATAGGATCAGGTGTCTTGGAAGAAACAGTTAGATTCTTCATTTGATTCATAAGTTTTGTTGTAACTGATGTGCCCATCGATGAAGCGACTGTGTTTTGTGTTGGTAAAGGCAATGTTGAAGGTTTTTCATTGTGAATTGAAGGTATATTAGATACAGGTAGAAATGAATGTGCCATCATTCGCTTTGCAATAAGTGCCTCGAATTCGTGAAAATCTAATAGCGAAAACAATGCGATTATAAGAATCAAATTTTTATTAATTAACTCTCGGTATACCTGAATTTCCGTTGCCTTTCATTCCTATGTCTTTATTATTTATCATTTCAAGCGAAGCTGTCGTATCGCAACTATTGTTGAATGATAGAGATTGTAATTCTGTTGGCAATGAATTCGTCTTTTGAAGATTTGTTAAATCTGCTTAGGGAAAAACAAAAATGATTAGAAATCTAGATGGATCTATTTACTTGACATATTTTTATACATGTTTGCATAAAGAGTGTTGCTTTTGTCTAATTATTTGAAGAAAAACAATTGATTTGATATATTAATAGAGAAAGGTGTTTTTACTTTCTTGCTGAATTATAGATAAAAGATTTTGACGAACTGATTCAATGTCTTGTGATGACTGTTCGATACTATCGGTATCAAGCCAGATGAAGCATTCGTCTATCGCATCTTTGAGTTTACCTTCGAATAAATTAGAAAACTAACTTATGAAAACTGTTTTTTTCGTTTGATCGAATTACTGGCGAATTGTTGTATATCATCATAGATCAATTCTGAATCGGGTGCAAACCTAATAAATGTTTGTGCAAACGATAGTAACATCTTAAATGTATCTTGTGGATTATTTTGCAATAGCACTCGGCAATCATCAAGAGCTGGTTGAAGAAAAGTATTTACACCATAAGCAAATGGATGAATTCTATTGAAATAAAAAGCCGTAGTTTTATATTATTCAGTGAGATCGTACATACTGATGTGCTAGAAATTTAAATAAAAGTAGTTTTGATCGATCAAAACTTTTCGATGTAGCTGCTTTCGGTTTCATGTTTGATTTATTGAAATTAAGAGAAAAACAGTCTATCGATAGATCGTCCCTCCCTTTTCTTTTTTTTACCCATTTCATTCTAAATCCAATCGTATGTTTTCCTAACTAAATTCCATTGTTATTGTCGAGTGCGACATCTTGATAGTAAAGTCTTATTGATTACCAGGAAAGATTTTTTTTATTTATAATTTGATAAACAAAAAAAAAGGAAAGCCAACAGTTTTGTACAATACATATCAAATATCTGACAAGGAAAAAAGCAGAATCCATGAATAAGATTGATATGAAAAAATATATACAATCAATAAGAATGTTGGTCAAATGAATTCATAAGAAGATTTTTATTTCGTGGAGGTATTGGCGGTGGTTGTATTGGAGATGAAGACGATGACGATATGTTCGTAGAGTTTGTTGTTACTTCAGGATGATGAAATACAAAAAGAGCGTGATTACTGTTGTTCGGTTCGAATTGCGAAAGTATTGGACCATCAGCTGATTTGGTCTAAACAAAAATTAATTGTTCTAGTTTAATCCTTCAAATGAAATTCTTACTGCTGCTTGATTTGTATCGTTCGTTTCCGTAGGACTTTGAGTTTGATTTATTGTTAAAGCATTAATGAGAACGTTATTACGCTTGAATCTATGTGGACTCTTAGCAAGACGAGACATAATTCCTATCCGTGTAGGACTACGTTTTGTTGCAGATACATCACTGGAGTCATCGGAAAATAAAACTTTCGTGCATGACCCATTGGTTATCGCCGAATCGCTATGCTTAGGACTTGAACTAGGTGATTTTGGTGGTTTACGTTTCGTGACGTTATCATTGGAATACGAAGGACTTGATTTGATTGGTGAAATAAGTTCTTCAGAAGATTTCTAAAAAGAAAACCATTTACGAATCGGATTAAATTCATAGAATCATGATTTACCTTTGTTTTATCTGGTGTCGTTGAAGAAAATTCAGCGGACGATACTGGTGGATGATCATCGATGTGTTCTCGTTGCTTACTCATGATAATTGGTTGGTAGATTTCATCTTTTTGTGTACTATCATAAAGTTCTTGAGATTGTGTTTGTCTTAATGGCATCTTTATGGTCTGTGGTTGACTGGTGTTCTCCACTGTATGATCTGATAGAGTACGATGAATAGGTTTTGGTTCAGATGAATTCGAATCTGACTGAGATGCTATTGGGGTTTGACGTCGAAATCTTGCAACAACAATATTTGAATCTTCGGATTCACTATGTTCATCGTAGGAGCGAAGTTTTATTCTGTATTCGCCTTCATCACGAATAGAGTCGATGATTGTTTCGAATTTTCCTGAATCAACGGAACCTTTGAGAACATCGTCGATGTAAATTCGATAGCCAACTATTGGACGTTGTTCATTTAATGGATTCGGTACCCAGTGAAGAAAAAAACTTTTCGCATCCCGTTTTGATATATGTGCGCGTAGAGGTGGATATAATGGAAGTGATTTAATAGTTGAACGAGATTCAAGTTCGTGTAAATGTTGGCTAAGTTGACGATTTTCTTGAAGAATTTTTTCTGTTTCTTGTTGATGATTTACACTTTGAGTTTCAAACTAGAAAAAGCAAATTTCGTGTTGGATAAGAAACATATTTATTTTTGTTACCATTTTCCAGAGTGAAGCTAAAGCAGATGTTTGTAATTCTGTTGTTTTTGTAAATCGCTCGTGTAGATCGAGATATCTATTGAGGAGAAAAAATTATTTTGAAAAAACTTCTTATTGATCTTACGCTTGAAGAACTGATGTTCTCATTGTTTCAATTGATGTTGTTAATTTTTTTAATTCAATACTATTCTCTCGATTGTAGGTTGTATTTTGAGTTGATAACATTACATTGATAGGAGCGGACTTTAACTGTAAGTCATTATCATCATCGTCATCGTCGTCTGACACTAAATGAATAGAAATGTAGAATTTATAGAGTGAACTTTTCTGACGTACTGAGACCTCCTTAGGTAACATTATTCAGTAGAAAGTTCGAAAATGTAACTATTTTCAACTTGTTTTCAACACTCCAAGCTTTTTTTGTTTTGCTTTTCAATTGACACTTACAATTTTTGTTTTCGTGTGAAGTGAGTTGCTGTTTATCTTTTCGCTTATGCACGGATGCCGTCCTGTTTAGCAAATTAAATGTCGACGCATTTTCAGCAGCAATCGTGTGACGTTTTTGTTGTTCTAAATGTTAGTGAACAAAAACAAAATTGTACAAAATGAAATTTTGATAATTACGCATCGGAATAGTTTTATTCGGCTTTGTACGCATATTAACATGCATAGCTGCTGATGCCGTGGGTCCACGAGTAGTAGTTTTAGGTGAATATCGATTAGCGTTGTAGGCTAAAAGTGCTGATGTTCGTTTCGATTGTTGAGGATTTGTTTGAGCTCGTGGCCGAGAAATATTCGTATCATCGTTCGAATGATTTTCAATTGGATATTGATTTAGTTTTGATTGAAGCATGCTTTTATCGAGTGGTTTTATAGGTCGATTATCATAATCACTATAGCGGTTACTGGAACTATGCTCAGTTATTGGCTCGTCATTATGACTAGCCGATTGGTTGTATCGTGGACTTGGCGTTTGCATTTGATAGTCAGAGTTCGAAGCAGAGATTTTCTGTTGATCAGATACGATGTGTTCGTTAACGGTCGAAACCGATGACGAAGATGATGAGCTCATTTTAACGAATTCTGATTCCGATACGAGTAAACTTTGTTGTAATTTTGGTTGTGAATCTAAAAGATTGACTTAGAAAATTTCAATAAAGAATCTTCATACCTTTGGATAATGTGTCGTTTGCATCTTTCATTGTATCTGATGTTTTCATAAAACCGTCTTCAACAAATAAATAGAAATATTCGATTATATAATATCAATTTTTACTTTACCATCGACATTCTGTTTATATAAATCTTGTTGAAACATAATACGTGATAGATGAAGATCATCTCTCTTCAAATAAATGAAAAATAAAAAGTTCTGCTTTTCAATGAAAATTGTTTTTTACTTCATCTGCATTAGTTCCGCAAAATTTAATTAAATATTGAACAAGGTCATATTGTTCTCCTGGTCGAAATGATCGTCCTTTGCCTTGACTTAATAGCCATTCAGATTTTAAGCTAAATTAAAAAGAAGAAGCTATTAACATAATCCTTCAGAGATGAATCAAGGAAGTAAACATTCTATCACGTCTAAAGGAAAACGGAAGGTATGGTAAATATGTTTCGATAAACCAATGACCTTGAATAAAGTTCAGTTTCGGTAGATATACGCTATAGTTTACCTTTCTTTTCGTGTAACAAATATTCCATCTAAGTTATGTATTGTTAAACACCAATTAAGAATATACGGACGATAATCAAATGGTTGATGGCAACCACGACGATCATCAACAACGAATAAACATGGATTATTATGAATATAAAATGTATTTAAATCGATTAGTGATGATAGATAACACATCTAATAGAAAGAGAAAATTAGAAACTAATTAGAAATAATTTTGCAAAAATTCCACCTCAGTTAAATCTTGAATTTCGTTATCTGATATGATTAATGTGTGAATTGATTTTGGCCAATATTTTCCTGTTGATACTAATGAATCGATCAAGTTCTTGTGTAAATTTAAATACTAAAATTAAATTCATTTCTATTCCGAATTGAATTTTAACGTAGGATTGATTTTTACCTTAAGTGTTGTTAAGTGGGAAAGATCTTCAATGTGACGAATGGAATTATCGCTTGCATCCACTGATTGCAATGAATGGCAAGCATTTAATGCACCAATATTTTGAATATTATTGCTGGAAATATTAAGCATGACGAGATTTGATAGAGTTTTAAGGCCTAAGCGCAGAAAATTTATTTTGAAAGAAAAATTATAAAAAAAGGATTTCTTACAATCGATTGAATCAAGAGAATTATTTGATAGATTTAATTTTTGCAGTGTTTTCAAACGGCCCACTAGACGAATATCGATTAAACGATTATGAGATATGGATAACTAAAGAAATGTAAATAGAGAAGTTTTTTAATATGAAAAATTTTACGTGAATAAGATGTGTCAAAACATCGAGTTGCTCGACTTTAGTTATATCATTATAATCAAGTAAAACAGCATTAAAACTAATATCATTTGGTAGTTTATCGATTTTCTTAAGATTTTTCGAACATAAATCAAGTCGTGTTAAATGTTGTTCTGCCAAACGATTATCTATAGAGAAATTTAATGGTTGATCAACTTTATTTGACATTGCTGTTGTTGTTCGTGTTGAACAAGACGATTCAGATGGCCAGTTAATAGTTGTATGTTCTTGCCGAGTAGACACTGGACGATGTTGTACGACTTGCATTTGAATTTTACTGGCTTTTAAAAAACGAAAATATTCCACATGACGATTAATGAAAGATGAATAAGCGTAAAAAACGGTGTTAAGTGTTAGTGCTGAGTAAGTGATTTTTATGTTCTTTAATCATTTCATTTTTTCTTCTTCGTTCTCTACTCGTCTTTTTTTTCTGCTTAAGTTCACTTCTTTGTTGTGACCATACTTTTCAAGTGTTGATATCCATAGAAACAATGTAGGAGTAGAGAAACAAAAATAGCTCGTCTTGAATAAAGTTTTATTTTTCTTACGAAAATTTTCTATTAAAAGAAAAAGTACGACTTTCATTAGAAACATGAAATTATTCTGTGGTAGATGGCGCCATAGATCGTTGCTTTCAAATAATAACTCATTATCGATAAGCATTTAACAGAAAATCCCGCTGACAGACTTATCTCAAATGTACGGTAATCATTTTCATCAGCCGATCGATCATATAAAATATTGTCTTTATTCAACAGCATGTGACATAAATGTTTTGATTTTCTTTAAAATTGAATGCCAGCCCCTTTGTTTCCTACCATATAAAACCTTTCATCAAACAGAAAGTACAACGTATAGTTCTTAAAGGTTGCGGGCGAAGAAAATTCTCACGACATGAATTAGACCTGGCTATACAGTTACTGAATTTGAACACCAAATGAGATGGTAACCAGTCAATTGGTTAAAAATCTAATGAAAGTATAATCAAATGCTATATTGAAATCGTTGAATAATTCACTCGGCGATGCTAAACTGGGAAAAAGTAAAATCGATGCAAATGGATGAATTAGTATTAAAATGTAATCTCGAATAAAGAATCAAAAAATTTCCATCAATTGTATACTTTTCTGTAAATATAACGTTTTTTTCCTCCGTTTAAAACGGCTGTGTGTTTACTCTGCATTGATGCACACTCACACCCTTCTGAAATTTCTCCTCGTATACTAAACAAAACAGCTGCATCCTATGAAATAGTGATAAATTTAGACGTCGCACAACTATTTCAGAACTGATCTTAGTTTTCAATGTATGCACTGAGAGCTCCTAGAAATTATTATATTCTTGAAACGATGGCTGCCGATTGGTTTCATGCAAACCATGATAGTTTACAAACTTTCCTGCTAATATTATTTTTCTGTGGAGGTAGTTTCCTATGTTGGATTATTTAGGAGGAAAATTTCATTTTTCTAAGCGTTGAACACTGCTGGAAATACAAGAATCCTTCGTCACATGTCCATTTCCTTTCATTTTCATTTTTATTTTGAACATACAAAAAAGAATCGCTATCATAATGAAAATAAGAAGTTCTTTCAGAAAATCATTCATTCTTTTGAAAACGTAAGACTACGCATGATATTGTAGACCTCGCGTTTACTGGCACGGTCCGTGTAACTGAGTATGAACAAAAGAATATAGTCATTTTTCATGATTTTAACATATCCCATTTGATAGACAGTTGAATACATAAGCATGTGCGTGGTCCATTCTTGCACGCTAAATTGTTCTCCATTCAGATAAACTTCCCGACAATCGCCATTTAACTTTGCCTGTATCAATGGACCATTCAAAATTCTTAAGACAGTACCAATAAAATCACAGCTATTTATCACACCCTGTGGTGCATCCACCTTTCCAATGCTCGCTACGATATTTGGATTGCCTTTGCCGTTCGAGTTACCTAATGGAAGTTTGGAGAATACGAAAAGTGTTGACCGTTCTGATTTGGTTGTGTCAGAATCGTTGATCAACATGTTGTTTTTAGCCAAGAGCGGCGTGACAGTGCCATTAATAAAATCACGTGTGTGTGCAAAACTCGCCGAATGCCAATTTTCCGGTTTCTCTATCGAGAAACCTAAGAAAGAGTTCTTATAAAAATATTTGCCCATGGATTGAATAGTCGACGGTGACGGGTCGCCAACTTCCGAAGAACCTATCAAATAATAAATGTATCATATAATCCTAGTAATCATATACGCAAATAAAAATGGCTTCAAGCTTTTCGATTTGAACTTTCTTCTTCGTTCCACTTTTGTATCTTTATGGGTCTCATATATCAAGTCTTTTTCTCTATTTTGCATATGAAGAGAATCGCGATATCCTACAAGTATGCCAGCTCAATATATAGTCCAAACACTGAAACTTTGAATTCCTCTTCCAAGTATACATTCGAAATTAGTTATGTTTCACATATATCGATAGATAAAAACCTGAGGTAAAAAATTGAAAGCGCCGCTACAAAGTTCTACAGGAGTACTCAAACGATGTACTTTTGTTGTTTGAAAAAAGTAAAACATCGCTATTCATGGCGGCATTACAAGCTTCATCGTGATTGACTTACCTATAGGCGCATTATCACCAAATTGCAGTACAGAATTTATCGCCAAAAGTATCAACCACCGCATTAAGATGCTTGGAGAAAGTTTGTCAATCGATTCGAATTATGTTTTTGCTATTGCTTCGATTAAATCGAGCGTCTATTTATACATTGAAAAAAAACGCGTCATAGTTAATTTTTCACAGCTGATTTATTGTTAGAGAAATGATCACAGCGAATTTAGACACAGTCTGTTTCGAGACCAAGTGTCAATTGAACACGCAATTAGACACGAATTTATAATGCAATTCAGAATTAACACTTTCCTTCGCTTAATTATTTCTATTGGCCATTGCACCAGTTTAAATGCATGAATAAAAAAATATTGAACATTTACCAATTTTTCGATGTGAAGAAACAATTAGCGGCTTGAATGTGTAACTGACATCATTTGTAATTTCGAGATCTGTTGCATTCAAACTGTTTTGTCAACAAGATCTCTACGAACGAGATTATTAACATTCAAATCATGCAGCTTAATACGATAGTAAACTTGATACCGACCGGGATTAGGTTATTATAAAACAATAGTGCAAAATTCGCTAATTGGTCCTACATTAAAAATATCGTTTTTATATTTAGCTGTATGATCGCGTGAAAAATTAATCGACATCAGATTAGTTTCCTAGAGACATTCTTTCCTTAAGTCAGAAAAGGACAAATTTAACAATGCTTTTGGTTAAATTTAACTGACGTAAAGCTTTGAGTCTTTCTTTTTTTATATGCTTATCTCCACGCATCCACACCTTACTTTCATCATCTATACAAGTTACTTGACTCAATGACGATGCGATGTCCATGTAACATCACTTTTTTCACTTAAAATCAACATTTTTAACTTTATTAGAAAAAGCAAATAGATTGTTTATATATTCGAGAATAACATTTTATCTTTATTTAGATTCATCTGGAATAAAAATAATAATTTGATTGAATTACATTGATAATTAGATTTCTTTATTTTGGAAAAAACTTGAGAAGCTAATGTGTGTGCGATTATTTGCACCGTGAGGGTGTGTAGGTGTCGGTACTTCTTGCACAAAGACCAACATTCATACAGAGACCCGCATCCAACTTATATTAATATTCAGATTTTGTAGAAATATCAGGACAAAAAAGTAAATGTATATGAATCGACCGACTTTGTCTTCTGAATAAACATGTTTATTTTTCTTTGTTCAGAATGGTGTCGTCTATGTTCATGTAAATCAACATCACGAAGCGATAGCAATATAATAAATAAATGTTGCAAAAGAGAATAGCGTGTAAAGATGACTATATTCGACTATTCATCAATCGATGATAACACATTTTTTCGTTTTTAATCGCGATCATAATTATTAGTCGTGGTCGCCAGAAAAGTGTACAAATAACAAGCGAATCTTGGACGAAGAAATCGGAAGTCGAATTCCGATAGTTGGGAAGCGGCAGATACCTTGGGGATCCAACAATGATGATCTGTTGAATTTATATCTAAACGTTAGATATTGTTTGATTTTCCTCTTACTTTCTCTCTGAACTACATTGAAATACAACTTAATAGCTTGCGTCTTGAGCCCTTTATTTAGTGCAAAATAAAATAAAAAATTACAACGAAATAAAACAAATTAGAGCTAAAATTTAATAAACAAAAACCAATAGAAAGGATACAATGGGATTAAAAATAAATTTGGGTGTGGATAAAAAGAATACTTCCATGAATATCCACATCCACAAAGCCTAGAAGATTACACAAAATTGCAAATATTAGAATGGGAATAAGAGTCACACGATAAGTTAAACGATGAATACATTCTCAAGAAGTAATATCGCATTGAAGTTTCTTTGGCTCATAGTAATTATATGAATGAAATTCTCATTAAAGATATTTAACGGTAGCTTTCTTCTTTGGAATCGTAAACTTGTACATCCCTTCATTATACTCTAGTTTCACTCTGTCCTGGTCGATTCTGCATTTGAATGGAATCTCTAATTTAAATTTGCCCATCGGAATTTTCTCTTGGTGTACAGTTGGATTTGATAATGATTCTTTAAAATTGACGCGCTGACCTTCGATACTGATTGACTCTTCACCCACACCAACACGTGTATCCCCTTGTTTAAAACCTGCTAGTTCAACGATAGCAAGAATTTCATCTTCTGTCTCATATAAATTGTAAAGAGGTTTCCATTCACCATTATCCATAGAACTAATACCAATAAAATAGCCTGCATCATCATAAAGAAGCTTCGGAGACAAGGATAGCGGATAGGGGTCGTGATCGAGGTTCTCCATGTCTTTGCGGTGCGAAAGTACAATAAATGGTTTTCTGACGTGCATCTCGATTTGAAGCCGCTTTTGACTATTCTCACTTGAATTATCATCGTGAGTATTAGTAAATAATTGTGGCAGTTTGGTATTGACAAAATTGATCATTTCGGTGATAACCTTCAGATTTCGTCTCGCATCTGTAGCTGTTTGTAAAATATTCATGATTCCATCAATCGACTGACTATTCCACATTTTGGCTGCATCAGTGCCATTTTTCGTAAAAATAAAATGGCGAATGTCGACACCGTTATTCGTAGAATGAAAGAAGGAAACATCTGTGGAATCCTGATTCATTTTTAGTTTCATATTATCAGGCTTGGCGTCAAAAAGAAATTCGACTTCATTTTTAATTATCGTTTCTACATCTTGAACTGTTTCAACATCCAGTAAGTTATGAACGATAATTATATTTGTCTTGCTTTCTGAAGTTTTGGAGTGCATTAAAACTTGTTGAATATATGATTGATCTGTCGCACGTAAACGATTGACCACGATGATAATAAACGAGCATAGATGAAGTACTATTTCTCTAATTAGAGCTTCTGTAGCCTTTCTATCATCTAGCTTATCTTTTTGTATCGCAGTGTCAGTTCCAGCAGTATCAATAAAAACTATATTCTCTGCCTGCTTTCTTCCTGCTGTAATGGAGATACCCTCTGTATGTATTAGATTACCACTAGGCAGATTTAGACCACAGAGTTCATTGAGTAAGAATGACTTGCCACGATTATATGAGCCAAGAACTGCAACTATAACGCCGCGATTGTCTTTTGGTATGGACGAATTTGATTGGATCTCTGATGCACTATTTCCAAGTACAATTTCCCAACCACTTGTTGATAGTGCGACAAGGCTATTGATTCGAATAGTAACATCGTACGGTGTATGAATAGAAGATTTTCTATATATATCTGATGAATCTGTGCTAACTTCTAATTCTGTTGAATCTTCATCACCTTCAAATTCTTTCGGATAGCCAAGAAGAAGCTGCAGTAGTTCCATACTATATATGGGGAAAAAGTAAATATATTGGTTAACTTTTCTACTTGCGTGAACACACGATTTCCTACAAAGACAAAGTTGGTGGAGAAATGAGTATCAAGATATGGATGTAAGCACTCAAAAAAACTAAACGTGAAGAAAGATAACTTGAAACGCTGAAATACTTGTGACGAACAACATGTCAGGTGCATCTACTGATAGTTGAAACAAGAAAAGAATGAGTATATTGCAATACTGATAGCGACGAAGGAAAAGAAGAAAGGAAATAAAGTCCTTCTAATGGATATCGCCATGTCGTACCAGCGTTAAAATGAAGCAAGAAATAATAGATTTGACAATTCCAATCATTATTTTCATTCTTGTACTTTAATTTATTCTATGCGTTCAAAAAAGGATTTCTGACGAAAATCAATTTCATTGATCAAAATTTCAGATGAAATACATAATTTTAATCACGGAGAAAGTAAGCATCTTTACATGAAGATAAGGGGTCACCCAGCAAGTGTGCAAAGTTTCTTCTAAAACTTTATGAAAAATATTACCATTGAATAGAAAGGAAAAGAATTTTTCCGAGGACAACTCATAACAGCAAAGTAAGAGTTCTTTTATCAATATATATTTATTTCGCGCTCTCTATACAGAAAAAACTGTAAGATGGTTGGAGACCTGTTGAGAAGACAGTGTGGGTTTGGGTATTCGCTATTGCAGAGAAGGCACCCACGAGGTAGAAGCTGTGAGAATTTAAATAGTTTTAATAATTCTCGAAATGTCAACAATTTTATGTATTGTTGGTGTGAATGGAGAATATATCCTATTCCGCAATGTTGAATATTTCGGAACCCATTCCATCTAATTCCGGCGATTCCGCTTATCACTTCCAACACAATTCCGGAACTCCCGGAATCACTGCCTACCGATTCTATCTAATTCCCGGAATTCCGTTTATCCCTTCCGATTCAATTCCAGAATTACAGGGAATTCCTACGGATTCCGCCTAATACCCATCGATTCCGGAATTCAGTGCACTTCCTGGAATTGGGCGAACTAATTCCAGAATCGGACAGCGTTCAGGCTTGACTTAGTTCCGGAATGTTCAATATTGCGGAATAGAATGACTGCTCTGCGAATGTTGTTGTGTGTACTTTAGTGATCGGCGGCGTCGCGTCTTTTGATTCCGAAAATTTTGCTTTTGCGCTTCTAATTCCAATCCGGACCCCGGCCAAAACGTTTTTCGGACTCCAGCTCCGACTCCGAAAAATTCTGAAAAATTTTCGTTACGTAGCAACATCGTATTTATATCAAAAGTTCTATATTTTGAAAGGATAAATAAGTGGGCCAATCAATATAAAATGAACAATGCGCTATCATTGTAGTATTTCTTTGTATTTTTTAACCAACAAACAGTATAAGTAAACGGTTTTTAACGGGAGAAGAACTTGAAGAAATTAATTAGGAATAATGATCCATCAATAAAATTCTTGGAAAAAACAAGACAGCAAAATCAAGCGAATGTTAGCAACACTTTCATATCATTTTTGTCAATAATGATCGACAACAATATGTGTCTTGCAATAAACACAAAAAGTTGTTAGCATTTTCATCTTTTAATAGTGCTAATAATTTACGCGTACATGTTAATTCATGTTTAAAAATAGATAAACCAGCTTTTGTATATCAAAAAACTGTTCACGATTTTTATTCTTCTTAGAAACAATCGCTAATATCAAAGAAAATTAAATCATTTATTACAGAAGCTTGTACAGAATAGTGTGCCTATAATAACTTAGAAATCAACTTCCACGAAAAATTTCTTCGAATATTCACTAATTAGTGTACTTGCACATGCAACGAGTCTTGAATCTCTCAGCCTCACGTACACTCTCTGCTTATCCTGAAACTTGCGAAAACAATTTCGAGAACATTGTGATGTTTTTTTTTCTAACAGTAAAATGAATGTGCATATTAAACATATAGTTAGGGTAGCTTTTGGATGCTTCTCAAATGAAAAAATAATCTTTTTTAGCGATTTCATGCAATTTTTGTGATAAAAGTTGGTGATTTGACGTTTTCTAAATGAAGTTGGCCAAACAGAAACTGCGATTTTAATATGTAAATGTATTTTAGTAGTAGTAGAAACTGAAATAAAATAACTACTTTAACTGCTGATTTTTTCTTGTGATTCATATTATGTATGTGAGGCAGCGATGAGTTGGCAGAATTTGACAAGGAATGACACGAGATCAGAGAAGTGTTGTGTAATAACATTTGCTTTGTATATATAAAGCAACGTTACTGTTGAGCAACTACGCTATAATCAGAAGAAGAAACAAACAGCACTTTCAACTTGACACACAAAATTACTCAAAAAATGTCTGAATCAAACAAGAAAACACCAGTCATTATAGATTTAAATAAAATTCTAAATTTTGAAGATTCTACTGAAATAAAACGAATGGAGACCGAATTCGAATTAAACGGTTGGTGTTTCGTTTTTTTACCAGCCGAACTCATTCCGGACTCGAATTTAACAAAGGAACTGTCAGATTTTTTTCAGCTTGACAAACGAAAAGGTAAATATTCGCAACGCTTGGGAATATATGGTTATTCAAAAGTGAATCATAAAGAAGGTATCAAATTACTAAGTGGAAGTTATTTTTAACAAATTTGCAAATAAAGGATTAGTGCCAGCTACACTTGTTAAACCGTTAAACTATCTTTCTCAAGTATTCGATGCTGTAACAAAACGTTTGATCGAAGTTCTTGATCAACATTCAGTGTTCCAACGAGAACCATCTTTACCATCTCTTATCGAACTTGCCAGTCTTCCTTGGCAAGAAGAATATTTCGGTATACTTGATATTGTATCTTACTTCAATGCGAAAAGTGGCTTCCGACCGCCTCAGAACGGACAAACCACCGAAGAAGTTAATTGTATTCCACATTATGATCCGGGACTACTTTCAATTAGTATTTTATCGACACACGAAGAACTTCAATTAAAAAAGTATGCTGAATAATGAATGGTTAGATGGGCCTTTAGAACCAAATATCGGTGTCATTTGGTTGGGCGAAGCGGCATCTCGAATAACACAAAGCCGACTTAAACCTGGTATCCATCGAGTTGTTTATCCTCAAGAATCCAAACTTCGGCTTACACTCTGGTACCAATTATGTACAATTGAACAATTAAAAAACGTAAGTGCAGACAAAAAAGACGAATTAATGGCTAATGGAACCGTCGCGTTTAAAAATCTTCCTGGATCGGCTCCAATTACTGTTTCACCTGGTGAAACAAAGCTGGGTTTTTTGAAGCGAATTGAAATGTCACATGGGTTATCAACGAGTAAAATGGGTCCACCGCGTTATAGACTCGAAAAACATACCATTGCGTATCCAACAACTGTGTCGAAAACTGAATAAGCAATGCACTAATCTATGTACGTATTTAATATTGTATCTTAAATCGACAGTATATAGAATCCGTTGTTTTTACTTGTGTTTTCATAATTTCACTCAACTTCATTATTACGAATCAAAAATTTCTCAGTCTTACAAATGAATAATATAGATTTATATTAATACAAGCAAATGCTATTGATGAAAATTTAATACGCAAGAAAAACTGATGATGATTAACAAAAAAAAACATATTTTTAAACAAAAGGAATTATTAAGAAAAAAGAGAAAAATAATTGTAAAACAATGGATAACACACAAGAATAACTTAAATTTAATATCAAAATAAAGAGTTTTCTTTGAGTAAAACAATGCTTTCATCTATTCGATAATTATCTATATTGCAAAAATAAGAACGAGTTTGAAACACTTAAAAATATTCTTAGAAGAAATTTATGCGCACTGTAATTTATTTTATTGTTATCGATCTCTGACCTCATTCATTGATTAACTATTTTTATTATCATTGGGCGAACGACGGGGCAAGACTCATACCTAGAATCACTTCAATATTATTTAAATAACATTCTTTATTTTCATAAAAAACAACAACAACAATGAAGAATAACAGAAACTGAAAAATAACAAGGAAAATTATTTAGAAATAGTCTTGGCATGAGCATTGTCCATTCAAATGAAAATGGTGTATACGATTTGCGTCACGAACCACTATTTCACATTGATAAATCAAAGCAACTAATTTAGTTACTTCATCTATGAAGAAAAAGAAGAAATTCAATGAGAAAAAACAGATTGATTCATGACTTACGACAATCACCGCATATGCGAAGGTTTTTCGTCATTTGAATGCGTTTGGGTTTTCGATTACGGATGAAATGTGCAGCCATAGCGAGTCGTTCGCTGTGCCCACAAAGAAGTGTTTCAATTGTTTCATCAGGTTCCATCGGTCTTACAATCCAACTTGCATCGTACTTATGCCCATGTTCAATGATTCTTTTTGACATTCGATCAACTTGTTCGTGGATTTCCGCAGATTCAGCATGTGATCGATCATGCGCTCGAAATTTCTATGAAAATACACCAAAATCATTTCAAATGTTTTGATAAAAAGACTTTTGCAAACTTACCCAGAGTTTTCCATCGATATCAGTCACCGTTACACCAATTCGTTTTTTAGCACCTGATTTATGCAACTCGATTTTAATATCTGTTGCTTTTCCAATGTCACCTGATGATGCATAAACGTTAGCCAACAGAATCGAAGCTGCCACCAATGAATCTTTCATGTTAGGGAAAAGCTTTTGCATACGATCAACAACTTCCTGTGATAGTTTACTATATTTCTGATTGCGAGCACCTGATAATAATGGCACTAGAATGAAAACAACAAAAAATAAAATTGAATGTGTTGTTTTTTGTTTATAGTAAAACTTTTATTAGTCTAGCATAGAATTTTTCTTTTGATTATCTAAATTCATCCTCTGTTTTTTTTTATTGAAAATATGCGTTTTATTGCATTTTTCTTTCTAAGAAGTCAGTTAATATTTAGTAAAATTTGTCATCTCTGTTGATAGCATTTTATGTTACAGTATGTTTTATTTTTATATCAATAGATCATTTAATATTCCTTAACATATAATAAAACCCACTTATCTTCGAAATCTATTGCTTTAATTGGATATTCTAATGGTAAAAAAATAATAAAAGGTTCACTTTCTGACTGCATTATTCCTTAATAGATTGAAATTAAATCGAATATAAAAATAAACCAAAAATTGTATGAATTTTGAAAACATTTGATGAATACTAACTATAGATGGTTATTGCAGGTGCATGATCACGTTCAAATTGCTCAATTAATTGCTGTGCTTCTTCAAAGGCAGCTCTACGACTAAGACAATCGATCTAAATAAATTAAGCTAGAAAATTTATATAATTTGTCAAAGAAAAATAGATAATTCTCTATATACCATTGTTGTATATATTATTTCTGTTTTCGTTTGAATATTATTGAAGATTGAGCGAGCTACATCAACAAGTCCTGAATGTGAACATGCATTCAAAACACAAATGTAAGTTAAATGATCAATGGATTCTTTCGGCATTTGATAAAATAGTTTCACTGCTTCATCACCCATTCCATTTAAACCATAAGAATTAACTATTGAAAAGATAATCAACCTCTGTTTTTTGTTAAGGAAAAACAACGAAAACACACTCATCGCTGTCCATCCAATGTGATCCGGTTGAGATATTTTGTCAAATATTCGTTTTGCTTTATCCACAGAACCAACTTTACCCTACATTTATTTTGAGACAGGGAAAATATCACGATAAAAGAAAAACTATGTGAACATACCCACATATGAATCAATGCATTTCGAATCCGATGATCAACACGAACAGAACTTGGAATTTGTTGAATAAGCGCTTGAGCTTGTTCTAATATACCAAGCTTAGTCAAAGCTTTTATAAGACATAAATAAATAGCAATATTTGCTTCAAAACAATCAGTGTTCATTTCAGGCAATAACTTCATCTTTCTTGCACTATCATTTTCTCGATGGAGTTCATCAATATGAACCCAGGTCGATCAACCTGAGCCGTAAACGGCCGTATACCTATCATTCACGGTGAAAAACGGCAACCGT